GCAGCTTCCAACAGAAGCAAAATCAGGCACATTTAAAATCGCAGTGTTTGGGTTAATCAAACATAATATCACAACCCATCAGTAATTGAGATGTTTTTAAGTGATCAGATGACTAAAGTCTATTTATTTAAAACTGGATACAGTCTTCCAAAGCATTTCTATTTACTGAAGGGCTGTGCCTTTCACACATTAAGCCTGTCTCTAAAGAAGCCAATTGGCTCAGTACCACTGGAGCTAGGGATGTTAGATAATGGGTAACAGAATAGTCAACTAACCTCATGAATTCTTAGCAGTTAGCTGACTATCCTATAATAGCCACTGGGGGCAGGGAGAGAAGCTGCTACAAAGCCTCCACAACAGCCTTGCTGGCCTTGCTCCCCCCCCCCGCCCCCCCCGCCCCTGAGCATTGGCTCCTGCTTCCCCATTTTGCTACCTCTGTATCAGAAGTGGGGGGGGAGGGGAATGGGAGTAGTTGACTAGATTAACTGATGGTTTAGCGATTAATCATCTAGTCAACTACTCACTGACATCCCTAATTTGAGCAAGAACCACAGTTAATTAAAACCATAACTAACGTAGCCAAGTCTTAGGCCACATCTACATTACTACATTGTGTCAACAAAAACTGCCTTTTGCCAATAAAACAATGAGATGTACACATTGTGATGCAATATTTGTTGGGAAAAACAAAAGTTTCAACAACAAAAAACTTTCATGCCTACGGGGCTTTTTTCTTTTCCCTTCCCTTTATTATTGACAAAGAGCCAGTGTAGATACTGCTGTTTGTTTTGTTGACAGAACTGGCCATGAGGGATTAATTTTTTAAATTATAATTTTCTGCTTCAATGTACATAAATTAAAGAGATGGTCATTTCATTGCAGTGTTCTAGTATTATGACCTAGGGATATTAAAATGTGTTTACTTTGGTAAACGTGTAACCACTGAAATTTTCATGTTTTCACACAGGGAGATAGGCAGTTCCGTGGGAGCTGGTGCATGTGAGAAACCAGCTTAAAAAGTTGGCTCCTTGCAAGCACCAGCTCCCACCTACCTGCCCTCCCCACACTGCTGTCTCAGCATGGGGGGAGGGATATGTTGCGTGTGACAGTAAAGGCTGGCCAGTGGGCCCAGGCTTATCAGTTAACCAATTATACTAATGCCTCCCTAATATGAACAGTTCATTCTAAGTCTGCTCTTGGAATTGAATTTATTTAATGCCTTATTAGGCTTCAGTTTAGGGGAGATAATTTTGACATTTAGGGTACGTTTACACAGCAGGGCTATTTCAGGATAATCGGAAGTATCCCAAAATAGCTATCCCTGAGTCTTTTGAGCATGCTTGCTATTTTGAGATAGCGCACATGCTATTTCAAAACCTCTCTCAGCATCCCTGTAACCCTCGTTCCATGAGAGTTAAGGGAGGTCTCAAAAGATGCTTCAGAGACTCTCCAACTGGCAAAGGGTTCCTTAGTGTGTTATTGCAAAATTTGGCACTGTGTAGATGCACCGAATTTTGAAATATGCTATTTTGAAATTCACTCAAAATTAGATACGCAATTTGTATAGCGCAAATTGCATATCTTATTTCGAGCTTAGGGTGCTGTGTAGATTTACATTTAATATGCAACTAAAACCACTACAATGTCTCAGCTCTGCAGTCTATACGCCTAGTGAAAAATATATTCGTGGCAAGTTCTTCATTTGTTGCCTGATAAGCCTGAAAGCAGAAAACAGTATGTAAGCATCCAAATCCTCTAAGTGTCCTTTTACTAGCTTCAGATGTCTTCCACAGTTTAGTTCTAAGCAAGTAGAATATTTAGTCTGACTATATCTAGTGTGTATAATGGTTCTGTGCAACATACACTCTTAGGAGAAAATGCCTTCTCTTCTTGTTCTGATCCCTATTTTCATTTTGAAACCAGGGATCCGAACAAGAGAAGGCATTTTCTCCCAAGAGTGTCCATTGCACAGAGCCACCTTACTGGGGAAGTTCACATTGAGCACTACTTTATTGGAAATGGGCACAAGAGTTATTAATGCTCAGTCAACAAGATGGATAAAAATGGGCAAACTTCAGAGTCAAAAAATACAATTTTAGTATTACCACGTAAAACTACATTGTTTCACTGGGCACAGAGTGTAAAGAAGTTGTTGAAGTGGTGTATCTTCCAGTAAATGGGAAGTCTATGGATAAAGCAGTGGGTAAGAACTGAAATGTCACCTAGGAGAGAGAGACATTTTCAAGAAAGTAAGAGCTATGACTCTTGTAAGAAACATAACCTAGGTGGATGTTCAGAAAGTCTTTTGTGGAAAATCTTGAGAAGCGGAGGGGGAAGACTGTCTTCTCTCTAAATGGATAAATGCAGTGCTGGCGTTGCATTTGACCTGTTAAAGGGGTTTGTGGGATGGGGCTGCCCCCATCGGCTGGGGTCAGGCTATAGTGGCTCCCGCGACAGGTAGGGGCTGTTTCAGCCTGGCTGCTGCACACACCCGCCCCCCCCCCAGGTGGCAGCCAGCTGCCCCGCACATAGGGGCTGGGCCACTGGTGGAGGCACTGCGTCTGGTTACCAGTTAAGGGTGATGCTTACCGCTTACTGGTAACAGTTAAGGATGGTTTTTCCTGGGCAACTGTTTACTCAACTACCCATCAACATCCCTATTGCCAGCCAGCTGGCATTGGCCCTCTGGTTTGCTGAGGATAAGCATAGCCAAGGTTTGCCCTTGGAGATGATAGGATGAAACCCACCATCGAAGGGACCATGAACTATTGGAAAAGGTTAACAAAAAGTGTTCCATACTCCTGAATCTAGTACCCCCGCCCCCCATGCCTGATCAGGAAGGTCCTACGAAGATGGAGGCAGACCATACCCCAGGGAAGAAATCACCAGTATGCTAGCCAACTCAAGTCACTGGAGTACTGATGCCTGGAGGAATGGTGAAGAATTGTTTGATTGGGGCTTCAAAGCAAAAAGCAGGACAACTAGGGAGATTTAGGATAGCTATTGGGAAAAATCTTTTCTATCTATAAGCATAGTTAAGCTCTGGAAAAGGCTTCCAAGGGAGGTGTCATTGGAGGTTTAAGAACAGGATGGATGATTACTTGTCGTGACTGGCCTAGTTTCCTTGGTCCTGCCTTAGTTCTAAGGCCTGGAATTTATGGCCTCTTGAGGTCCTCTGCAGCCCTACATTTCTATGATTCTGTAAGCCCCTTAATGTTGGAAGCGGGGCCCTGCTCAACCAGTGAATCAACTGGGAATCTACTGTTACATTAGGGGATTCCAAAGCCTCTCTCTAGGACTACGTCTACACGACAAATTTTCTCGGCAAAAACTATGCTAATGAGGGACTCATTTGCAGGAGTCGTGATTTCATTTGCATATTTTCTGCTGATCCGGGTTTTGGCGCAAAAACAAGCAGTGTGAATGTTTTCTTTTGGCGCAAAACCCCCCTTTCCCAGGAAAACGTCCACACTGCTTGTTTTTGTGCAAAAACCCTAGTGAAAAACTGGATCAGCAGAAAATATGCAAATGAGATCGTGACTCCTGCAAATGAGTCCCTCATTAGCATATTTTTTGCAGAGAAAACTCGTAGTGTAGACGTAACCTAAGTGTTTTCCCCACTTCTTGCCAGTCAGATGAAGCTGAACTGAGAGGGAAACATTGCTAATAATCCTGAGAAAAAATAACCCTCAAAGACAGAGAGAGGAGAGCACGAGAGAGAGGCGAGCGCTAAGGAACCCTTTGCCAGTTGGAGAGTCTCTGAAGCCTCTTTATTGAATTTCATCAAACAGCAAACTAATAGGCAAGAGGAGAAAAACATTATCTCCTGCTTTTAAGACTTAGGAAACAAAAGAAAACAAGATACCAGGCAACTCCAATCTTGACAGAGCAACAAATTCCCATGGTACAGAAATATATGAAGTGTTTAAAAATAATCACTTTAATTTGAGTTTAAAGAGGTACTAGAAATATCCATGAATATTTGTATCTAAGCAACCTTTAGGGACAGCAAGGCTATTTCACTTTCCTGCTTTTGAAAAGCTCAGGAAGGACTTTTCCATATCCCATAATGCACCTAACTGATACTTAAGAGAAGGGGGAGAGAGTTTTACCTTCTCTAAAACCTTTCGGAGGGCGAAGTAATGGTCTGATCTGCAATGATCAGTGTGATACTGATACACTTTCCTATAGTTCTCACCATTTTGAAACTCTTAACTAGGGATGTGAAAAGTCAGTTAAAAAGGTAACTGTGTAACCACTGAAAATCTTAGTGGTTACACGTACCATGGGCTCTTAAATAAGCCTTATACAACAGAGCCCCCAGCGAAGCCTCCCACATAGCCTGGCCAGCAGGGGCTGCCAGCTCCTCTCCTAAGGACGACGCTTCCCTGTGGCAGAGAAGCTGCCTCTCCAGGAGTGGGGCCGGCAGAGCCAGAGTATTAACCTGTAACAAAAGGACGGGACCAGGCCCACCACAGACAGGAGCTGCTCCAGGCGGGCAGGATGTTGCTCAATCCCTATAGTTAACCACAATCGATAGGCATTACCTGGTTAAGGTCATGCTTGCTGGTTAACCTGTCACAGCCCTACTCTTAACTATTCCTAGCACGCCAGCATGTCGGAAGTAGCAATGAAGGGGATCATTTTCAAAGGAATAACTGGCTGTTAGGCCTCCAAAGCCTATTGATTTTCAGTGTGACTTGGGTGCCTATCTGCTCATGGTGCCTTTGGAAACCTCCTCCAAAAGCTCTTTACATGAAGTTGCATTTAGGAAAGACTAAATTACTATTTTATAGTCCACATTAAAACAAAAAATGGCTTTCACATCTTTTAGAATGGAAGATGCACGTTTAGTCAACTAGATTTCACATTTTAAAATACCTTACCCTTCGTGTGTTTTCAAGAACCTTTTGATCTGGTTTTCCGTAATTTGGTGGATTGGCATATGGATCATAGCCAAGTTTTGCTAGCATTGGTGCAATCACTGGCATGTCTTGTAGAACATCAGAAGGTATTTTCCCAACCCATTTGGACAAAGCTTCCACATTCACTGGTTTGATTACTTGATCTGTAGATCGTTCAACTCTGCAAATAGAAAAAGGAAGTATTTACTATTTTTCATTGTTACTTTGTAACTAGCATTGAGCTCTTCAGGCTTTTTTTTATAATTGCATACTTCATAAAGCTGCTAGAGATAGTGATACTGGCCGTTTGGAATGGAAATCCATCAACCATATGAAGAAACTTGCACAGATACAGACAGACATCATCTTTCTATCCAAGTGCAAGAAAATGGACATCGTACCCAAAGGACTGAACCAATTATCACCTCTAATATCATTAGCTCACAGACATTTACCTCCTCCCCCCAATCCCCCTTCTGTTCTGAAATTTGATTTGTCCTTTTCATATGTGTTTTTTTTTTAAATTGTATCTTTTGGTATATATGGTTGTGACTATTTTTTCCACTATTTGATCTGAGGAAGTGGGTCTGGCCCACGAAAGCTCATCATCTAATAAACCATCTTTCATATGTGTTCATTTTTTTTAATTGTATATAGGGCATTGCTCCATATATAGATAGGGTCAGCAAGAAAACAATAAAAACAAAAAATCAGGGTGTGGCAAGGTCCTCACTCAGGCCTCTTGCCCTGGGACACCTGGCCTTTTATTGGCAGCTTCCCACCACCTTCTATTTACAGAGTTTTAGATAACAGCAATCTCAGCCAGCCAGCCTCGCCTTCTGCCTGGGGCAGGGGCACAGCCCCTTTGCTCCACTGGCTGCCTTATCTAGCCCTCTGGCTAATGAGGCCCACAGCTGCTTCCATTAGCTCTTCAGGCCTGGGCTTGCTCAGCTGTTTGCAATTGGCCTGCTCAGCCAGCCTGTAGAGGCAGAGCTCTGGCTTAGCCAGCAGTCTGTCACAAGGGTTTGTTTTTTAATCCTGGACCATATGTAGGACTATAAGCTCCTGACTTGGGCAGGGGGCTGGATTTGATGACCTCCTGAGATCTCTTCCAGCTCTATGATTCTACACTAGAGACTTATTTTGAAATAACAAGCAGAGCATCCACACTATCAGCTTGTTATTTTCAAACAACAGGCTGGTTATTTCGAAATTTTTACTCAAGCTTATTCCCCCAGGAAAGAAGATTTCAAAATAGTTATTTTGGTAGTTATTGTTTTGAAAAGTTATTTCCAAATAATTTCCTAATGTAGACTAGGGATGTTCAATCGAGGTTATTTTAGTAATCGAATAGTTGATAGAATTGTTATCAACTGCTTGATTACTCGATTGGGAAGGCAGCTCTGCTTAGGTCCAGCTCACGCTGGGACCAAGCCCTGCTGTGGCTCTGCAATTTAAAAGGCAGTAGGAGCCAGGGGGCAGAGCCGCAGCACGGTTTGGTCCCATTACGAGCTGGGGCTGAGCCAGATACCTTCCTCTATCCACTAATCAAGTAGTTGATACAAATTCTATCAGCTACTCGATTAGTAACATAACCTCCTTTTAACATCCCTAATATCAAGAGAGGAAACTGCATGTTTAGACTGCATGTATTTCCAGTAAATTGGTAATGAGTCACAGCACATCATTTACAGTGCTTTTGGACCCAATCAGACCTATACAAGGTTTTTAATTTTATTTTTGTTTTCTGTAATGATCTGTGAATGAGAGATCATCTCAGTAAAAGGTACAGCAAAACCCTGTTTATCCAATCCAATTGGGGCCAGATCATAATGCTGATAAAGTGAAGGATGGGAAAATGTGAGGCTGCACCACCATCTAGTGGTTACAGGAGAGATCACCAGGTTTTGGACCGGTCTACACAGGTTGTTTGGTTAATATGGAGAGCCCAATAAATGGGATTCTACTTTATTTTGGTTTTTTTAACATCTGGGATTAGCCTCTTTTCTTTGGTCACTTCTTTCTCATACAAGAACATGTGGAACTCAGCTTTTTCACTGGGGCTACATCTAGACTGGCATGATTTTCCGCAAATGCTTTTAACGGAAAAGTTTTCCGTTAAAAGCATTTTCAGAAAAGAGCCTCTAGATTGACATGGACGCTTTTCCGCAAAAACACTTTTTGCGGAAAAGTGTCTGTGCCAATCTAGACGCACTTTTCTACAAAAAAGCCCCGATCGCCATTTTCGTGATTGAGGCTTTTTTGCGCGAAACAAATCTGAGCTGTCTACACTGGCCCTTTTGTGGAAAAGCTTTGCGCAAAAGGACTTTTGCCCGAACGGGAGCAGCATAGTATTTCCACAAGAAGCACTGATTTCACACAGCAGGAAGTCAGTGTTCTTGCAGAAATTCAAGTGGCCAGTGTAGACAGCTGGCAAGTTTTTCCGCAAAAGCAAAAGACACAGCCTGGGAGTTTGAAAAACTGACATGCTATGTACTAATAAAATGTTGACTCTCAGGTATTTAATATACTGTCTGCAGTATAGACAATCGTTCTAGACTCTTCCCTGAAGTAAAATACTTTGGAAAGAAAGTTTGGAAAAATCAATCAATTAATTAGAGAAGTACACAGCTCCTTAAGATATTAGTATTCATTTTTCCCCTGTCAAAATAAGTTAAAATAATTTTAAAAAAACACATGGTACAAAAAGTCCCTGGGTGAATATTTTACTCTTGTGCAGTAAGTAATACACATGGTGTGCCATCATATCTCAGTTACTGGGTATGTCTACACTACCCCGCTAGTTCGAACTAGCGGGGTATCTCCATGTCTTCATTATTATGCATTGTTTCCTGTTTGTTCCGATCTTTTTAATAAATCAAGAATTTGGCTACTGTTCTCATGTGGTTTTTTTTTTAAGTAGACTAGAACTTAGTTTTATGGCCTATATGGTGACCATGGGGAAATCACTTTGGGTTTCATTGCCTCGGTTTCCCTACCTATGAATGGGGATCCATACTGTCTTTGTAAAAGCCATTGAGATCTACTGAAGAAAACTTCTGTTTGAGAGTTAGGTATTACAGACAAGGTGTAGAGCCTTTTATGCTCTAAATACATTAAATCAGTAAACAAGGAATGAATAATGCGATGGCTATAGACAGACATGACAGCTATGTATTTAGGTTCCCATATATGTTTATCTATTTCTTTGGAATCACTGGGTATGTCTACACTACCCTCCTAGTTCGAACTAGGAGGGTAGTGTAGACATACCCAGTGATTCCAAAGAAATAGATAAACATATATGGGAACCTAAATACATAGCTGTCATGTCTGTCTATAGCCATCGCATTATTCATTCCTTGTTTACTGATTTAATGTATTTAGAGCATAAAAGGCTCTACACCTTGTCTGTAATACCTAACTCTCAAACAGAAGTTTTCTTCAGTAGATCTCAATGGCTTTTACAAAGACAGTATGGATCCCCATTCATAGGTAGGGAAACCGAGGCAATGAAACCCAAAGTGATTTCCCCATGGTCACCATATAGGCCATAAAACTAAGTTCTAGTCTACTTAAAAAAAAAACCACATGAGAACAGTAGCCAAATTCTTGATTTATTAAAAAGATCGGAACAAACAGGAAACAATGCATAATAATGAAGACATGGAGATTCCAGTGAAGACACATCAATTGGTAACTGACTCAGAATTAAGACGCTAGCTATCTCCTGAAAAAATATAGGGAAATTTGGAGGAATAACCCTTGTAGTTTCACGTTAGGACAGGGCTACTCAACTTTGGAAGCTCCGGGGGCCACAATGGTACTCTCAGCACATGACAAGGGCCACAACTTAAGGGTGGTTGCATATACAGGCAAATATATATACAAATCTATGCAAATAGCTTCTTTCACTCTGACGGGTATGAATACAAAGGCAAGTCTATGCAACATATAGGCCCCATTTAAGTCATTTCTGCTGATATTAATAAAATGCAATGTTTATCCGATTTCTACCCATATGACAGCACTTTTAATGAGCAATGACAGTCCAGGAATTTAACTATTAAAACTCATATCAACAGAAGGCCATTATATTGATGACTTTTTTGTTTTGGCTCCCACCCACGGGATACATGTTGAGCCCAGCATAAATCCAAACTGCATCATGGGCCTCAAACAAACAGGCCACATGCTGAGTAGCCCTGAGCTGGGGGGGGGGGGGGGGAAAACAAATCACTTTACAACAAGAATGGGTTTACTAATTAATCTGATACTTCCAAGAAGAGAGTGAGAATAGTTTTTGCCTCATAGGTGGTAATTATAATTACTGATTCATAAGTAGCAATATGGCTTGGAAGATGTCTGTTTTAGGAAGTGTTCTTGAGGTCCATGGTCAATGTTTAAGAGCACATGCCTAAAAAATGATGCAACTAAATTCATGCTTAAGCACCCAAATGAGCAGCATCATTGAAAATCAAATGCAACATCCAGCACTTCCACTGATTACAGTGAAAGCTAGTGAGCAGCCACTGATTTCAGTACGTCTCGACAGCAGCACAATTTTGGGATACTTCCAGTATTCCACATCTTTTGAACAAAGCTGTTTTGAAATATCTTTTGAAATAATGGAGGTGCTATTCCGACATCCCTGTAAACCTCATTCCGCAAGGAATAAGGGACATTTCGGAATAGCAGTTTATTTCAAAATTAACTCAAAATAAGCAATGCAATTTGCATAGCTCAAATTGAATAGTTTGTTTCAAGATAAGGGTGCAGTATAGACACACCTTGTGAGAATCCCATCTAGTTTTGAAATAAGCCATCAAGGATGCTAGCAAGAAACAGGTTGGTTTTGGTCCTTTTCTACCTTGCTGCAATTTTAAACGATACACCAGTTTCCTATGTAGAGAATCATTAGAACTGATTTTAGGAGGACTCAGATGGCAAAGCAAATACACCAAAAATCATCATGATATAAAAACAACTGTGAAGAGTTTGGCAGTACCCAAAAGATGAACACAACCTCTGAAGTCAATTCATTCTAGGGTTACTCTTTTGAAGGTTCTCAGACATTCTCAAAATTAGCAAAGATGGACTTGTCTTTGTCTCTGATTCTAAAAAAGAAACACTACAATCCAGTATTAACTGGATTGCTTAGTAATTGTTTGTACAGCACCT